GGGAATTTGGAGCCACTGCATCAGAGGTCCTTACCCAGCTTGGGAAGCAGTCTGACCTCTGGAACAGGAGGAGCCTTCAGCCCTGACATGCAGAGCAGAGTTCCCTCCACCCACTTCTCAGGTGGCTTTAGAGAATTTTTGCTAATTGTTGTTTTTTCAAGTTTTGACTTCAGATTTCTGAGTCTGTTGAATTCTTGTTGCTTAAAACCACACACTAGGTCTGTCTTCTAGTTAGTGCTGGTAATTTCCAGAAATAAAAGGAGGAAGTTCTAAAGGTCCAGATTAATAAATTCACCTTTTTCACTGAACAAACTCATGTGTTGAGGGTTGACTGTGTTTCCCAGCCCCACAAGCACAAAGATGGTGACAGCCAGTCTACCCTTGAGGTGTGCACAGTACACTGAGGAAGATAGACTCAAAAAGAACTGCTTTCTGCTGCAGTGGATGTCACAGCTGGGTCTGAACCAGATGTAATGTGGGCACAAATAATGTCATGATTAGTCTCCTTGAGGTCAGGCTCACAGGTTCAGGAGCGACGTCTTGAAAGGCAGTTGATGGAAGCTGGAACAAGGGACAGACATTTACCATGCAGGCAGAAAGTCTTTGTGCAGTCGTGTAGACTTGCATTTGCATGGCTCATACAAGGAACATAGAGGGGGCTCATAGGGCTGGCTGGAGTTGGATCAGGAGGACCGAGTGATGGGGTAAAGTGGAGAGGGCATGAAGGGGAGGTGTCCAGAGTGGGCTCCAAGGCTTTTAGCCTGAATCTACCCCACGTCCTATTGGAATAATCGTAGCTACTTACATTTGGTCAAGTTGAAGCAAGGTTCTCACTGGGAGACTAGGCGGGAGCCTGACCGGAAGTGATCACAGGACCACGGCGGCATGGGCATGCAGCCAGACTGCCTGTGGAGGGGCCCCAGGAGACTTACTGGGGGAGGGAGGTATTGAACCGGGGCTTGTAGAATTTCACCTTAGGAGGCAGAGAAGATGGAGGGGAGCAATGTGGGTGGGAATGAAGATGCATCAGATGGAGGAAAAAAATCCACATGGTGGTACAGGTGCACAGAGATTTTGTTGTTGGGCTCTGGGAAGCAGCAGAGGGTGGCTGGAGTAAAAACACATGGTGTGTGTGTGTGTGTGTGTGTGTGTGTGTGTGTGTGTGTGTGTGAAGCAGGCACTGACCCTGCAAAGGTAGGGCTCAGTCAATGTAATACCAAAACTAGGAGTTCAGCCTGTGCCCTGGGGGGGGGGGGGGGGAGGGAGGTTTCAAGTATGGGAGTCATGTCATCAGATTTGTACTTAAGAATCATCTCTCTGCTTCAGAAACATAAATGCTGGGAATTTTGGTAAAATTAAAAAAAAAAAAAAAGATTGAGAATAAGCAGTTAAGCACAAGAGAAAAAGTGCCCATGCCCTGCCAGGTATCTGTGTGCTGTCCTTTCTGGGTTGCTTGTGGGTTGGGATTTTCTTTATGGTGCTGTCAGTAGGGTAGGAGGTGTGGCTGCCCCTTGCACCAGCCAGCTCACGGTGGAATCAGGGCTTCATGGCCAATTGAAAGGCTGGCAGGACCTGCTTCCCAGATTAAATTGCTTGTGTCACGCCAGGTGATGAATGTCTGTGGCATTGGGTATAGCAGTTTCATCAAGACACCTTCATAGGATTTCATTCTTGGACTTAAGAAGTGAAATACCTTATAGTCCAAATACTTAGTCCCTTGCCTTGACTGGATGGGTTAAGTTTTAGGGTTTGGGTGAATTGTGGGTATTGAAATACACCCACAGTAGCCAGGCAAGTTCTGCCTCCATGGGATCACATAAACTTGTAACATAACTTTATATAATTTGTCCCCGGATGGAGACCATAGGTTTGGGTCCCATGTCCACCAGAGTCCTAGTAAGGTAAGGAACATCGGGGTTTGCTCCAATATGACAGGTAGGCTTGTTTCACTGGAAATGTGAACATTGAGATTGGGTTGGCCTTTTATCTCTAGTCCCCAAGGCATCCTATGAGAGAGAGGTCAGACATGGTGCCTCCATGACCGGCCGATGCTGGGTATGCTCAGCTTGCTCCTTTGCAGGTGCAGAGCCAGGGACAGTGTTTCAGAGGAGTCTTATTTGTAAGATTGACCCCTGATGATGAAAATACAGATGCCAAAATAGGAATTAAAATGGTCCCAGAGCAGTGTCGCCGTTTCCAGAATGACTTCATTTTGACAAATGCATGTGAGGTAGCTTTGCTGTATTTCTGTGTGACACTGGCCAAGTCACTTCCCGTCTGTGTCTCATTCCTCATTTATTATAAAGTTGAATTGTTGGACTAGATTATTCGTTTTAAGGTATTTTCTTGTTCTGACAGTCTGTGATTTTGTGGTGAACTTCTGAGTGAGCACTGTGGTGGTCAGCACATAGAGACCCACCCACTCACCCCCCAGGGATCTAGGGAGCCTCCATCATGCACCCGGCCTGCTAGCAAGCATCAGCCAGCCTCATCTCTTTGGGTCCTCATGATGAACTTCGTTTAATAGTGAAGTTCAATGTCCAGGGGTAGGGATGGCCTGTCATTAACTGGTTTTTAATAGATGATTCCATTTCTTCCTCAAAGCCATTGGCTCAGTGTTCACTTCTCCCTCCTCTCCCTTCGGTTCAGCTCCTTCTTTCCTCTGGGGCATCATTATACGTGGTTATATCTGCTCCAGCAAAGCTGCCCACTCTTTGGGCTTTATAGCCTCTTTCTGGGAACTCATAACAAGAATTGCTTCAGCATTGGCCATGAACACTGGGGACTGACCCAAGAGAGGGGTTGCCAGATGCCAGAACTGCTCCCTGTATTTGTTGATTCATTATCAATGTCAGACAGTCTGCCACGTGAATGATGACAAATGTGCGGCATTCTGCTGAAGGAATCATGGACTCTCAGATTCACCCTGTGCTGACAGCCCACTTGGCCGCTGCATGGAGTCCCATCACCCATCCCCCCTTCTTCTCTAGTCTGGAGCAGACCTTGAAGGAGTCAGGTATGTTTGGCAAAGGATCCTAGGAGACCTCATGTCCATGTGATTTAGGAATGGAGATGTTTTTATTTCAGACAGAGAGGCCAGGACAAGGTGGGCAGCTGTTACGGAAGCAGGGAAGCATTGGAGAGAGAACCACCCCTGACAAACACGTAGGTGCCCCCAAAGAAGTTTTAAGTTAGTAATCTAGGTGGGGCTGACAGGGGCTTGAAGAAGAGAGATTCATCCTTGGTCACTGTGCAGCTGCGTCAATGTCATCATAATCATAGTCCTAGCCACTGATTGTTTTCCTGACTTTGGGCAAGGCTCTTACCCAACTTGGGCTTCACTTCTCACCATTCATAAGATGAGCAAGCTGGACTAGGTGATCTCATGGCATCCTTGTGGGACCTTCTTTTTCAGTTCATTGGTCAGACAGGCCCAGCCCTCTGGCCCTGGCAGCCTGGCATCCCCTCATGGCACTAAAGGTTGTGCTGTGGGTACATGGTCAATCTTAAAGGTAGTTTCCCAAACAGACCTTCCTCCTTGGACTGCCTCCCCCATATGGCTAGGGAAGGTTGAAGGTAGGATAAAAACCAGGTTGCGGGGTACTCTTCCTAGATCATTTTCTTTCATTTGGAAGTGGGTGGGTCACCTCAGACTCCAAATCCAAATTCATATGGAGCTGAAGATTTATTCTGTAACTAGTAGAAAAGCTTTCCTTCTGTGGCCCCATGAGTTCTTCCGGAGAGTTAAATGCCATTCCAAGTCTTGGGCCTTGGAATGAAGTCACATTTCTCAGGCAGTGGTAATTTCATCCTCTGTACCCCATTATGTTATTGGGGAAAAGAAGAAATAGTGACAGCTGACATTTTTATGGCTTTCTGGTGTCTAGGCATTAGACCGAGTACATGCATCAGCTCATTTAATCCTCATGCCACTGGCTTGAAGTAGATTCTGCTTCCCCCCCCTCCCATTTTACAGATGAGGAAACTGAGGCTTACTTACAGTTCCAGGGTTACATATCCTGCCAGGATCACATAGTGAGTAAGTGACAGAGCTGAGATTTGTACTTGATGTCTTCTGACTCCAGAGCCCAGAGGTTAACCACCAGGCAGCACTGCCAAGGGAAAAATGCTGGCAGGGCCCCATGATCACCTGGTGGATCCAGATGGCCCATCCTCCTGCTGGAGCTCGCCCCATGGCCGTAGAGTCCCTCCCCGTGCTTTGTGGGGAGAGCAGCTGGGTGACGAGAGGAAGGGTGCAGTCACTGCAGGCCTTTATTTCAGTGGCTTCTGATTCAGGGGTGGGGTGCCTTCCGTGGACATAGGCCATCCTAATAGCATCATTTGTCATTATGACACAGGTTAGGATGGGGGAAACTGGAGCCAGAATGGGAGAGTAGAATTCTGATTATTTTAGCAGTTGAAAGTGACATCACATCAGAGCCTCTATAGAATGGCAAATTGGAAGCTGGACTGAAATTGCTTCAAAATGTATCCAGAGATCGTTTTCCACAGCTGTGATAAAGTCATTTGATTGTGTTGGGAGATGCGTTTCTGTCTCAACTGCTATCTGAGTTGTGTGTGTGTCAGCCCGCTGGGAAGGCTGCGCATCAACCCTGGAGGAGTGCAAACTCCGGGGTGCTGTGCCCAGGCGCCCCAGACATGCCGTACCCTGGACCGGGGGCTCGGGGAGCTGGTGCGGCCACTCCCTCATTGTTTCTTTTAATGTGCTGCGAATGTCTTTCCGTGTCACTAAGTCATGTTTTCCATTATTTCTCCTGGTCGCATCTGGTGGGTGGAACCGGGGCTTTCGGAGCAGGCTCTCTTGTCCCTGTCAGCACGTTGGAACAAACGGGAACAGACTCGCGAAGGCCTCCAGGATGCGCCTGGCTGTGTGACCAGCCCTGTTGTTGATTCATTGGGCTTTCATCCAGGCAACTTGCAGGTGAGACCAGTGGGGACCGGAGCTTCAGTGAACTTATCCCCTCTCTTTCCATCCTTAGGCAAAAGAAGGGGAACGTGGCCCACAAACACTGGGTCGGACCCTCGAATCTGGTGAAGTGCAAGCCCTGCCCTGCGGCACAGTCAGCCATGGTCTGTGGCTCCGATGGCCACACCTATACTTCCAAGGTCAGTCATCTCCGTTCTTTTTTTTGTCATCGAGAATATCCCACGTCTGCGTGTTCTCACTAGTCTCTGTGCCAGCACGAGGGCCCGTGACTCTCAGTGGGCTTTGGGCCTCGGCCTCAAGAGGCTGCCGCATGAATAGACTCTCTAGCCGAAGAGACAGGATACAAATGTTACCTCCCATGGAACTGGAGTGGTCAAGGACTATGGGGGAAGGATGGTTCTGAGGGTGGCGTGTGATCCTAAAGTCAGTCCAGGCAGGCTTCCTGGAGAAGGTGAGGTAGCAAGCGGTTCTGCAGATGTGAGTCCTATAGCTGAGCCTGTGGGTGTCTGTGGAGTTTGCCGTAGGACATGGCCGCCCATCTTCCACAGCTTGAGCTGCAGTGCTTTTCTCTCTCCTCCTGTTGTCTCTGTGAGGCTCCCTTGCATTTAGATTCTGGGGCTGAAGACAGCTGCTATCAGCAGCACCCTGTGGCCCCCCTACCAGGTGGTTCTTGGGCTGTGTCCCGTCTTGGTCCTCCCTGCTCTGCACACACAGGTGACAGTGTCTCTTCCTGTGAGCCCCTCACCATCCTAACCTTTACACCATGGGGCTCCCACAGGGCTAGTGGGGGGCCCTCCCTGCCTGCTGTGCCCTGAGGCTTTTTTGGGTTATTTCAAGGCTGTGCCATGCTTTCCCGCTGATCTCTGTTGCACAGATGATATATTTTTGTTCACTGAAAGCAGAGTCGTATCCTCTCAGATTTGCACATTATTCTAACTAAAGGGGATATGTTTAACAAAACAGGAAGCCAGAAGGTATATCTAGCTTGTACTTGGGCCCATGTAATCTGCTTTTTGGACCTCAACATCATAATCACTCTCTGTTTATTCTTTCAACACATATCATCTGAGCCCTTCTTATGTGCCAAACTCTGTGCCAGGTGCTGGGGAAACTTAGACTGGAAATTAAAAAAAGTTCACACATCTTCATAGCCAGAGTCAGGAATCCTTATGTCCCCAGCCGCAGACCTGCCCTGGGAATTAGCGCTTCTGTGCCCAGGGTCACAGTCAGTAAATCCTGGTTAAATAGTCCAGCTCAGCTTAGCATACCCACCCTTGCCCCTTTCCCTCCTGTCCCTGGCCCCTGATGGAATCCGTTTGAGATAGTTTGCAGTAGGAGGGCTTGCTGCTGGCACCCTGAATATGTCTGGAACTGTGGATTTTCGGGGGCACCCAGGAATTTGTTCTAGCTCCCATTCCACAAAGGCAGATGAGGCCAGCATTGTCTTCCACCTAAAGCCCAGCTTCCAGGGATGTGAACAGTCACCTGAAGATTCTGCTAAAATGCCCGTTGCAACATAGCAGGTCTTGTGTGGGGCCTGAGTTTCTGCATTTCTAACGAGTTCTCAGGTGGTGTCCATGCTGCTGGTCGCTGGACCACACTAAGTAGTGAGGACTTTGGTTTTTATAGACCTCTCCTAATAGATCTCTTTACCTCCTATCTGCCCTTCCCCTGCCCCCAAAGGCCGTTTCTGCATGACGGAAGAGATGGGGAGGACTCTGTAATAAAGGTCTGTTTGTGTGTCTCCCCCTCTTAAAATGCTTGGCTATCTTTCTTCTTCCTGCTAAAACTAAACCCCAGACCCTTTCTCCTTACTAACAGAGCCTTCCAGAGTCGGCTGCCTTCCTACTGCATCATCACTCCTTATAGAAAACCTCCTTCCTTCACTGGTTCAGCATGCAGTTTGTGAACGTTTCTAGTTGTTCTAGGCCCTGTGCAGAACATGACAGTGGGGAATGGGACAGACACCATTCCAGCTCACTGGTGGTTGCGATCTGGTAGGGGAGACAGAAATAAATAAGTAACCAAACAGATAAATATGCAGTTTCAAATTTTGGCAAGTGTTACAGTGGGGCTGAGAGAGAGAGAGAGAGAGAGTGAGAGGGAGAGAGGATGCTTTATAGGGGATGGTGAGGGAAGTCCTTTCTCAGGAGGTGTCCTTTAATTAGAAGTGGAGGGTAGAATGTCCTAGACAGAGAAAATAGCCTGGGCCAAGGCTCTAAGGCAGGATGGTGTGTGTGAAGAAGGGAGAGGATGCCTGTGTGGCTGTCACATTGGGGGCTGGGCGGACAGGGAATGTGAGAGAACAGTCTAAGAGGAGACCTGTAGCCAAAGCTGGAGGGTGAGCATGTCATCCAGCAGTGCCTGGCTTGGGGGACACTTGTTACTGTAACTGCCGCCTTCTCTGTGTCTGCCTTAAGAATGTGAGGCCCCAGAGACAGAAGTAGTGCCTGTCCCCACCTTCACAAGGCATGGGACGCAGTGCGTAGTGGGTGCTCAGTGAGTATCATGGACGAGAGGGGGGCCCCCAAGGACTCTGGCTGAGATGGAATGGTGAGAAGCCAGTCCGTGTAACCATCTGGGACTGGGAGTGAATGGGTTGCAGAGAGCTTAGTGATTGAGAAAAATGAGCTGTCCCCACCCCCGGCGAAGTTGCTTAGCTAAACACCCAGCCCGGGGCTCTAGCAGACAGTCAGAGTTCTCCTTGCAATGCTTCTGTCTCTGTGAAGATCCAGCTTGTGCTGTTCAAATTATTCCGTCCAGCTCTGGAGTCAACTGTCTGATCCTCAAGCCTGAGACTGGAGACAGGCCATGAAATGTCAGTGGGTGATCAGGACTACTGGGGCAAGTGGCGTGTTGCACATCAAAACCAGCAAAAACCTGCCCGCTCGCCTCTGTCTCTCGTTCGCAAAAGGAGCTTCAAATGCTGGCTCCCTGTGACCCCCGAGCTACAAGGAGCAGTAGTAACCTGTCAGCCGTGGCTTGAGGTGCTGTCAGTTGCCCAGGGAATGTCTCTGGAAATGCTTGCTGGTCATGGCCCCCTGCAGTCTGGACAGGAAAGCTGGCTTTTTGTTAGAGAAGGTTGCCTGCTCACCGGTACTGATAAATAGCTGGTAGGAGAGGCAGGATCGGGATTAGGAACAGTCTTGCAATGACTCCTGATTCTTCAAAAGAAGTGTGACTTCCAGATACTGCTGTGCCCTCAAAGCCTTCATTGGCCTCAGTCGGCCTGTTGTGCTAGTGTCCTTGAATTGCAGCACCAGCTGAAGCAGAGTCCTCAGTTTCCCAGACCTACTCAGCTGTCTTTTCCAGAAGCAAACCAAGAGATCTAAAGCGTTCTTATTAGGAGGTGTACTATCCTTCTCCCCATTCTCCATATTGGGTATACTGAGGTCCACAGAGCCATGGACAGCAGCGGAGTTTGAAACCCAAGGTTTCCTGCCTCCATGTCTGTAACCAGCTGCTGCTTTTTTTTTTTTTTTTTTACTATGTTATGTTCATCACCATACATTACATCATTAGTTTTGGATGTAGTGCTCCATGATTCACTGTTTGCATATAACACCCAGTGCTCCATTCAGTACGTGCCCTCCTTAATAGCCATCACCGGGCTAACCCATCCCTCCACCCTTCTCCCCTATAGAACCCTCAGTTTCTCAGAGTCATAGTCTCTCATGGTTCATCTCCTCCTCTGATTTCCCCCCTTCATTTTTCCCTTCCTACTCTTTTTTTTTTTTTAACATATAATGTATTATTTCTTTCAGAAGTACAGATCTGTGACTCAACAGTCTTACACAATTCACAGCGCTCACCATAGCACATACCGTCCCCAATGTCTATCACCCAGCCACCCTATCCCTCCCACCCCCCACCACTCCAGCAACCCTCATTTTGTTTCCTGAGATTAAGAATTCCTCATATCACTGAACTCATATGGTACATGTCTTTCTCTGATTGACTTATTTTGCTCAGCATAATACCCTCCAGTTCCATCCACGTTGTTGCAAATGGCAAGATCTCATTCCTTTTGATGGCTGCGTAATATTCCATGGTATATATGTACCACATCTTTTTCCATTTATCTGTCGATGGACATCTTGCCTCTTTCAATAGTTCGGCTATTATGGACATTGCTGCTATAAACATCAGGGTGCACGTACCTTCAGATCCCTACATTTGTATCTTTGGGGTATATACCCAGTAGTACAATTGCTGGATTGTATGGTAGCTCTATTTTCAACTGTTTGAGGAACCTCCATACTGTTTTCCAGAGTGGCTGCACCAGCTTGCATTCCCACCAACAGTGT